AGGGCGTGTGGTGTTATCACTCGGCGCTGGAAAATCGTTAAGGTAAGTTTTGGCATTAATGAGGGCTGAGAGAGAGGCAGAGATAGAGAGAGAGAGGAGAGAGAGAGAGAGAGAGCTTGTGCGCCAGAGATTGGGCGAGAAATTTAGAAGCAGGGATAAAAAGAGTGAGAGCGAGAGCTAGATGCAGATATAGATAGAGAGACAGAGCGGAGAGAGAGAGACAGAGAGAGAGAGGAACGAGCGAGCGAAAGAGATTTATTTTTAACGCAACTATTGACATTTATAATAGACAACGCACGCCCTGGGGATTTTTTATACAAACTTAGGGGAAGCCGACAATTTTCCCATGGTTTTGCCAAGATCATTTTTCCCCTAACCTGGTTACCAACCAGTGGCACCTGGCCCATTTTGGACCCCGAAAATTGGCTTTCGCCAACGCCCGGACTCTCCGACGACCTTGTCCCCATATTGATCCCTGTGAGCCGGGGAGCCGGCCGGATACCGCAATGTTTTTCGTGATAGCGTCCTAAAATCAAAATTATCGGCTTGGGTACTACCATGATGCGTGTATTTTGTATATTTTGTATGGCTTATTTGGTGCCGCGATTTCCGGCGGGGATGATGCGGGTCCGCCGATGCCAGGTAAAATTGCAATACTTTCGAGATTTTAAATAACCTTTCTACGTGAAAAAGATACCTTTAAAGTAGTCGTATGTGATAGTTTCATCAAAAAATTTTCATTTCGAGCTTTTTGACCAAATAACAAGATATTTACACCACATTAAAGTGTATTTTCAGTCGGCGGCACTTACCATTTTCCAAAACCCTCGACCGCTTCCGGTTTACCGGTCAAGGAAGAAAGCCGGAGCGAAGAAAACTTCATATCCGGAATTTCCTAGGATCCACCATGGGTAGGTATACTAAGTTTCTATATGTCTTTTGAAGTACCATCAAAATGCCACTGCCCGAAAAGGGATGCGCATTGCCATCGAGGAATTTAATAAACATCATGGCGCCCGTATACTTGAATGAGGAGTTGGGATTTGGACGATGATTTTGAGTATACCTCAAAAATCAACGTATTTTACGCTAATTTTTTAGGCTACCTGGCACTAGTGATAAGGAGCTGGAATATGTCGTCTCCGAGAGACCGCGTTTTTATGGAGTAAGCGTTCAGTTCGTAGTACTTAAGCCCGTTTTAGGTATACAAAAACTACTGGTGACTTTAAGGGACTCATCACAGAGGTGCAATATACCAATGGGGTAAGTGGAAAGTCTGGTATTTTAATGGGCAGGCTTAGGCTGTGATTGCGCTCCGATGAAAGAAACTTTTATGAATGGGACGATTGTACATTTTTTGATCAATCACCCGGGACAGTTCGATTGGTTAGTTCTGGTGTCTCTCCTCCCTCTCTCTAGCTCTCTCTCTCTCTCTCTCTCTCTCTCTCTCTCTCTTTTATTGTGCATATTTAGGGCTGCCCCTGTAATTGCCTGTTCTTGGAGCCCAATTATCGATGACGTCGAAAGAAAAATAAAAATCAAATACACAGCCGCCCTACATGCCGATGATACCTTCTACATCCGCTTTAATAGAGAGCATAGAGAATTGTAAGTTTTAATTTTAGCTTAAAACTCCCATATATTTAGGCTAAATCGCACCCAGACCAAACCAAGCATTGTCGAGTTCGAAAGCGAGCTGTTTGAATCTCGAATTTTCTACGCCGCCACTGGCGAGGGCGAGGACAATGAAGCGGCCAATTTCCTCTTGGAAATCAGTTACGACACGAATTTCGCAAGGTGTTTATCGATTTTTATGTCTAGTTTAGGTATATTTATTACACTTTTGTACTGATAAATACATCAAAATTAATTGGTGAGCAATTATTCGGGTGCAAATGGTGATTTATCGACCGGGTATTGGTAGTAGGCCAGCCAGTGGCAGTAGTCGAGGAGTCGGAGTTTCAGTTTTGGCAGGGTCGAGGTTTTACATTTTTCGAAGGCTTCCTAAAATAAATGTTTTGTTAGCTTTGTTAGTTACTTTTCAACCCTGGCCCCGTCTAGGCCCATGAAATGCGTCACTTTGCATAAGTCCGCCCGAATTCCGATGAGAAATAATAAAAAACGCTCCCTTTCTGCCGTTATATAGGCTTTCGCCACTTCCGGCGCATGCAAATTGTTTCCTAACAAAGAGGGAGACCCGGATTTTCATAAAAACTTAATTTTAATACCGAAAATAGCACTTTTTGCAAAATCTGATAGGTGTGCAGTCGTGTCATGACCATTACGCACCTAGTGACGTATCAAACGTATCCGTAACTTCCTCCCTGATCGAGATACAACTGGAACATAATGACGGAAGTTGCATGCAAAGTGGCACACATACACACACACACAAACACTATTTTTTTATATATAGTAGGATAAAAATAGCAAAAATTAACCTTTTTTTAGGAATCCATTTTAAATATAATTTAAATATAGTTTTAAATTTAATAATCAAAGTTAAATTTAAATTACCTTTATACGGAATGTCAAATCTTTCTTCAAATTCTTGCTTATTTCCATGGCTGATATCCCGATCATAGGAGCCACTGAAAATATCCATGTAACAAAATATTTATGGTTGTAAATTCATTAAATATGTATTTTTAAATTTAACTAACTTTTCCACTGGTTTCGCATAAATATAAATAATTAGGCAACTGCAGAAAATGACAAATACAAGTTTGTTCATGGCTGCGTTTGGCGATGAAAATGATCGGCGATTTTTGTGGAAGTTAGCTTCTGAAAAAATATGCGGATTCTTAATGGTATCATGAAAAGATAGAAAGAACAAGAAATAGGCAAAGATCGAACCAAAATATAGCCTCTTTTGGCTAACAAACAACCAGTTTCCCGGCTCGGTCAAGGGGTATAAATATTGCCGTCCATGCCGCCGGGAGCGTGCCAAAAACGAGGCCACAAAAAACTGTCGGGGTGAAATAAACTAAAAGAAGGGGAGGCAGGGGAAAGAGGGATGAGTAGAGGCAAAAGGAACTGTTTATCATCCCCCCAACCATCATATTGCGCTGTCCCTCATTTGTCATACGACATTTGATATGGCACGTCGAGGGGGTGGGTGGAGGAGGCTGATTGCGAAACAATAATTTGCATCATGGCGATCAGTTAGAGAGGGTGAGCGACAGAGAGCGAGACAGCAAAAGTTTCTTGATTTGGATGATGTCGTTTTCGAGCGTTTCCCAGGTAATTGCATATTATATCTTATGCGTTTGTTGTCGACGATCCAGCTCGTGGAAGCTAATGCCATAAAACTTTTTAATTGATTTGTTTCGATTTTTTGCCCTCAGAATTGTTGGAAAACGTACGTTACTGTACAAAAAACGGTTTTCTTCAGATGTACAAAAAATCCCATATTTTCAAAATAGAAATTAGAAATGAAGTACCAGATTCCACGCAAAAATACCATGGTGTGTGATTAAAAACGCCTGAAAAGAGCTACGAAAGTGCATCCGTTTCTCTGAGATGATAAAAATAGCATATTGCGAAAGTTGTATTCGTGCTGTTAAAACTGCATCATAAATGGGCCAGAGATTCCACGATTTGATCGAAAACGGGAAATTTTTTTGGCTTACAAATCCCTCTGGCTATGTAGCATTGATTAAATTTGATGGCGGTATATTAATGGAACTTTTAATTATTCATGGCGAATTCTCTAGAGTGTGTCCGAGCTAGAAAGATCCTTTTCTATTGCGTTCCGCTCTCACTGCCCTGGCTTTCCCCCTTTCGATAGTACGTATTTATTTGCACTTTCTTGTCGAAATTTATACACTCAAATTGCGAAAGGGACAATGACAATGGGCCAGCCACATTTTGATGAGGGATTTGTACTGTAAATACGGGATTTCAAGGGATCGATTTTGCTTGGTATGCTAGCTGCAGATCTATGGTTAGCCCTCTTGGTTCAGGTCGAGTCGTACCAAGCCGACGCTTGTTTCCATTGGCATGAACGTTTTCCAGACGTCGACACTAGAATTTTAGGTTTAAAGGGATGGTGCCAGTAAGTTTTTTTTAAATAGCATTAATCAGGTATGAGGTAATTGGTAGTAAAATTTTATTTAAAAATTTGAGACGCGATGCTATGAAAACGAGGCTTTTCAATTTGAGAGTAATTTTACATTTTTAAATTTCTAGAACTTTGTTTTGTAAAACTTACATAGTTTTTCGATGCGTAATGGCTACAGTATGCCCAACGTAAGGGCACCGATGCTCTACCACGATATAGGGATCTGGGTCGTTCCAAGGCCCGAAATCGTCGCCGCAGCCTTCTACCTAAATTTTTAGAGCTTTAGCTGATTTTAGCTAATGAATTATGTAATAACATGAAATATTTATATACATCTTTGCCGTCATTGGTTTACAACGGCACGTGCCTAAGGAAAATTAACAAAACTTCTTACATACCACAAATTTCCCGTCGATATCAGTGTAAGTCCGTCCCATCAGGTCGTCGGATTCCCATGGAAGGCCTAGAACAATATTTAGCATCGTTAATAAAATTACACAACGCTAGATTTCAACTATGACTCACTGTCATGATCATACAACGAGATCCGGACCCTCTGGTGCCGAAACGTATCCGTATCGCATCGTACTTGCCCATGAGCCCGTACACATCTCGTCGCGGCATACGCTCCACAGCAAAACACACCGAAAAACAATATCCGCATCATGTTCTGAACTGGAAAATCAGCACTTCTGCAAGAGGGGGACGGAATTGGAAAAAGGCGGGTTTGGGTGCAAGTTCAAACGGGCGGGCGATTCATATGAAATTCACGGCACGCAAATGGAGTCACTTTGGAGCGGAAAACAAGAATTTGGAAGATTGCCAAGTTTGGAATAGTGGAATTTTGTGTCGGGTTCGTATATAAAAACTTCGTTAGAAAATTCATGAAACAAAATACTAAATCCTACTTGAAAATAGAAACTGGGTAAAAAGATTACGACATGAAAAACAATGGATTAAAAAATATTTTGGAAATTTTAAAAATTTTCAAAAGGTTTTAGAAACTAAAAGATTGTAGACACTTTCGATATACGAATTCTAATTAATTAAAAAAACGAATAAACTATTAGACGTTTTTTAAAGCCATAGAGAGTGCAAAATTCTCAAGCTGCCTTGAATGCCACCCTAACATTCCTTGCTGGACGCGATACAATCCTTTGTGGGTGGCAAGTGCCCGCCTGCTTTTTGCAGATAGGGTTTTCCTAGATTAGATTTTTGGCCTCGGGCTGAAGAAGAACAGATAGAGAACCCGCGGAGGGGAGCAATGATTCTGATCGGGGGGTCATTGAATGGGAATGTGTTAGGTTTGGGGGCCTTCCGGGCCGATCGGAGGCTGATAAGGACAATTTGGACGCAGAGTGAGAGAGAGAGAGAGAGAGAGAGAGAGAGAGAGAGATTCGTGTTTGTTTGTATGTATGTGAGAAACGGCGGAAGTGATATTTGATCCTTGAAATTCGGTTTATTTATATAGGGAATGGGGGGTCGATGTTAATGGAGCTTATCGGGGAGGTTTTTGCCTATTTTGATTTTGAAGGCGGTAGCCGGGATTGCAATTTCCACGTGCCTTTCATTATAAAATGTATAATATAAACACGCTTTTCGATATAACGCGGAACCCTTTATTCAATAGCTATACAAATCGATAAATTAACGGAATCGGATCGATGGCGTGCCCCAAGTTGATGTGTTTTGTTCAAAACCGTAGTTGAGCGTCGTTGAGGTGGCTTGCTCGGGGCATAGCGCGGTGAGAGCGGGTTCTAAAATGTCATTTTTGATGGTTATGTGGGTGCTTTCTTCCAGTTCAAAACACACGGTTACACGTGCAAAAACACACACGCTCTTTTTTCGCGGTATCGCTTTGGGTGTGTACAATATATGGTTAGACCTGGGTTAATTAACCCAATTTACATCATCTATTTTATCCAAATCATCTTTTTTACCGGATTAATAGCAATAATCCACCCTAATATACCTTTTCACCGTAATTTGCCGGCATTCGGCATTGTACGGGGGAGAGAAAGCAGTTTCGGTATTTGTTTGTCTCACTCGCTCTTCCTCCTCTCGCCTAAAAAAATCGAAGAGTTAATACCAACCTTAAAAAGACATAATATATACAAAATAACTATTAAAAACAAGACGCACTTTTGCGCAACCGCATTCAACAAATGTAGTCGTTGGCGGGAAGCCATAGCGGACGCGGAGACCTGGGCAGGAATTCAAATAAAAAATGGACAACTCT